CTTCTCTATCTTCGACTCCTTCGTTACTTTCCAATCCCTTATTCTCTTGCTTCTCCTCTTCTCTAAATCTCTAATTTCGAAAACAAGCATCAAGAGCGCACCGACCTTGACGTTTTTAGGAGCTCTCCGATGACGATTTTGAAGAGCTTGTGATTCTCTGTAGGTTGTAGTGGTAGAAAATTCGCACCTCTCCTACGGCAGCGAGTTCTCGCAAGCAGGTGGCGCAGTAGGAGGCTGAGCGGTCCAAATTCGTTGTGATGAAGGCCGAGCAAGAGCGACGGGCCGCGATTATCCGCGATCCGGCAAAGCTAATCACTGACTACTTTGACTAGATTTTACAAATATTCTTACTTTATATTTTTCCCTGTTGCAGAATAAATTTAGATGTTCCCGAAAGATATCAGTGAGTTCACCTTGCTCAGTTCTCTGTTATTCTTGACATGATGAGATTGCAACTTGCTAGCTACATTTTATATTTATGTAATTTTTAGTTCATAGTGATATTTTCTTGACTTATTTGCTTATATTTTCGTAGTCTTTGAAAAGGTCAATATCGAAGGCAACCTTGAAGTGAATGTCTGGTTTGTTTGGTTCCTTAATATATATAACTATTGCATCATTGATTTTGATTGGTACTTTCTTTTGAAGGAATTATGCGTCAACAAAGCAGTGCTGCTGAAAGTCTCAATCCTTCAAAGCTTAGGAGGAATGCTTATGCTGCATCTGATATAAGTAGAATTGCTTCTCAGGTGGTCGAACACTTCCAGGTTATACTTTAGAAATATAGGTTGCCTTATTAAGCAATAATGAAGATGTACTCACTTTTAAATCTTGCATTGCATTTCTAGTCTTATCTTAATATTTGTTTGAACCAATGCATCTGTACTTCAACTCCATTCATATTAGTTTGCATCTAGCGACCAGTATAACAGATCAAATTCAAACAAATATACTGAAGGGGTGGTTATGTTCATAGCTTTCCCTTCTTAGATAGTTCAAAAAGTGGTTCTAAAACAGTGGTGTGGCGGATAGCAAAAACTGTGGCATTACAT